ATATCCCTGACATATTAATAAATACTTATTGATTCAACTTACTCAAATCATAGCTAAGGAGTCCAGACCAGTATCATTTTTACCAGACCATCCAGAAGACATATTAATTCAAAGCAAAAGACAATTCAACAATCTAGCAAAATTGATTACAAAGAAACTACCCATATACAAGGATGTACGATTTCCCCACAGATTCTCATGCCACTAGCAGGAGAGGATGCACAGATTAAACTTCTCTTCTCTCCCTCTGCATACTCTCCCAGTGACCTACTTGGTTCCCATAAGGTGAATCATTATCTTTGCAGATGACTTACAGATCTTTCCATCAGCCCTTCTCTCTCTTCTGAACTTCAATCTTTCATGAGGAATTGTTGCCTATTAGACATTCCCAAGTGGGTATTGCATAGGCATCTTAAATGCAACTTGTCCAAAACAATCCATCTTTCTCCCAAATCCACCCCTTCCCAACATCCATCTTTCTGTCAAGGATACCATCACCCTTCCAAGCATCCAGGTTTCTCACCTCAGTCTTCCTTCTTCAAGTCTTCACTCTCCGTCATCCCCCAAAGCTAATTAGTTGCCAAGTGTTAATCATTTTTTCTTTAAAACATCTCTTGCATCTAGCCCCTTCTCTCTACTCACAGCACTACCACCCTAGTCCAGACTCTCATCATCCTAAGATCTCCCTGCATATGGCTTCTCCCCTCTAATTCATATTCCACAGCTGCTAAGTTGATATTTCCAAAGGGCACTTCTGACCATATACCTCTCCTGCTCAAGAAGGTCTAATGGCTCTCTCTTCCACCTAGAATTGAATACAAACCTTTCTGTCTGGTGTTCCTTTGAACCCTTTACAATAAGATTTCAGTCAGTCTTTCCCAGCACAACCATTACTCAACTGTCGTGGAGTGATACTGGCCAATTTGTCATCCATCAAACCAGACCATTATCTTTGTTTTTCTGCCTTTGTGTAGGCCTGGAATGCATTTTTTCCCCTTTTTAAAAAAATTTATTTTTTTTATATTCTATATAAATTTATTTATTTTTAGTTTTCAACATTTCCTTCCACAAGATTTTGAATTCCAAATTTTCACCCCATCTTGCCCCTCCCCCCCAAGATGGCATGCATTCTGAATACCCCTTCCCCCAGTCTGCCCTCCCTTCTATCTCCCCCCCCCCCTTTTCTTATCCCCTTCCCCTTCCACTTTCCTGCAGGGCAAGATAGATTTCTGTACCTCATTTCCTGTATTTCTTATTTCCCAGATGCATGTGGAAACATTTTTTTAAACATGTGTTTCTAAAACTCCGGGTTCCAAACTTTCTCCCTTCCTCCCACCCCACCCACCCTCACTGAAAAGGCAAGCAACTCAGTACAGGCCATACATGTGCAGTTATGCAAAACACTTGCATAGTAGACATGTTGTGAAAAACTAACTCTATTTCCCCTAATCCTGTCCTGCCCCCCCATTTATTCTATTCTTTCTTTTGACCCTGTCCCTCCTCAGAAGTATTTGCTTCCGTTTACCCCCTTTCCCAATCTGCCCTTCTCTCTATCATCCCTCTGCTCTCTTGTCCCCTTCCTCCCCTATTTTCCTGTAGGGTAAGACAGATTCTGGAATGCATTTCTTCCTGGCTCCCTCCAAAGCTCAGTCCAAGTAATACCTTCAACATGAGGCCTTTCCTTTTCTTCCCAGATGTTCATACTTCCCCCTCAAAAAATTACCTTGTATTTACTCTCTATATGTATATATACACACACATATATTTATATCAACTTGTATGAGTACGTGTTGTTTCCCTCCATTACACGGAAGCTCTTTAGGGCATCTTCTTTTTGTATCCTCAGCACCTCATATATCATCTGGTACCCAGCAGGTACTCACTAGATGCTTGTTGATTTGGATTGCTCTTACTTAGGGGATACATCTGGTTAGGGAGGACATAGGGAAGAAGGGGCCATACATAGCTGGGATGATACTTGCTTCTCAGGCTTCATCCCAGATAGAATCCCTCTTTACTTCTGCCACTGCTGTTTAAATGTCTAATATCAGTCAGTCAGTAAGCATTTATTAAGCACCCACCACGTGGCAAGCATTGAGTTAAGTGCTGGGGATACAAAGAAAGGCAAAAGACAGCTCCAGCTTTTAAGGAGCTCACAGTCTAAGGGGTGAGACGATGTGCAAACAATTCTGTACAAATATACTACTGATAAAATAAATGGGAGGTAATCAACAGAGGAAAGGCATTAGAATATAGGGAGATCAGGGAAGATTTTTTTTTTTATTGAAGGTGGGATTTTAGGTGGGAAGGTGGGACTTGAAGGAAATCAGAGAAGCCAGGAGGCAGAGATGAGTAGGCAGGGCATCTCATGCGTGGGGGACAGCAAAGGAAAGTGCCCAGAGCTGGGAGGTTGGTGTTCAGTTGCTTTCCAGTTGTGTCCGACTCTTTGTAACCCTATTTGGGGTCTTCCTGGCAGAGATGCTGGAGTAGTTTGCCATTTCCTTTTCCAGTTCATTTTACAAATGAGGACATTGAGGCAAACAGGGTTAAGTGACTTGCTCAGGGTCACACAGCTGTTAAGTGTCAGAGGCCTGATTTGGACTCGGGAAGATGCGTCTTCCTGATTCCAGGCCCCGCACTCTATCTATGCACATGCCACCAGACAATTATGGGCGCCGGTGGGCTCTTCTCTGTCCATTCTCTTGGTATCTTGGGATCCTCCCTGGCTAGACTCCTCTCTGCTGCCATCTGCTGGATCTTAGCTGCTATACAGCCTTTACTCCTCTTCACTCACCCCACCCCCAAACTTGGGCTGGTGGGAAGGCCAAGGAGGGGTGTCTGTCAGTTCTTTTAGCACTTGACTCTCAGGCTATTTCACTCTTTGTGACTTAAACTCCAGGCTTCTCTAACCCTCAGAAGGCTGTTTTGTACTCCTTGGATTCAGCTGAACTCCTGTCTTCTGCAAGCGGTCCTTCCCATCTCCCAAGGCTAGTGACTTTCCTCTGTTACCCCAACTTACCCTGTGTATATCTCTCAGTACATAAGTGTCTGTTTTAATGTAGTAAAACCTGTCTCTATTCCAGCTGAAACACCAGTGTAGCTTTATATCATAGCTATTAAAGGGGTGTGAGAGGAAACATGCAAAATCATATGTACTCAGAAATAGAACCCGTCATTGTAATCATTCAATTCTCAACTCTGTCCAGCTGATGTTACCCAGAAGTGCCAAATGTGAGAACCACCAGCCAAGGCAACACTCCCGAGTTTGCCGAACAAGACTTAGATGTAGCTGGGAAACATTTAACAAAATAACTAAAAATTCAAAGACAATTGACATTTGAAAACTGACAACGTGAGGCCAAGAAGGATCCTTCCATATGGATTAGTGGCCCCAGTTTCTGTGTGAGTTTGACTCTCCTGGTGCAAGCCATTACACCATGTTGTGGGGACTCCTCTGTTAGACTGTGAGCTACTTGAGGGCAAAGACTGTCTTTGCCTTCCTTGTATTCTCAGCTCTTTGCTCATGAATTGGATTTGAGGCAGAGTTGCCCAATTGGTCCTCTCTGAAAACAAACACCCTCAACTCTTAGCAAAATGCTTTATAAATGCTTGCGGACTGACCACTTGACCTACACCTTCCTGAACTCAGTCTAACATTGGCAGTCTGAATCCCTCTTCATTTCTCAGAAGGTCCTGCTCCGTTTCAAACGCCCCAGGAGCGAGACTCAATGGAACTAGGCCAAATTGGCCGTCCTCAGAAGAGTCCTCTGCTAATAACAGAGTTTCCGCCCTCTTCAGAAGCAGCCAGACGTGTTTAGGTTGTGGAAGAGGAGACTTGGGGAAACACCAGAGCTACCTCTCAGGTGTTTGTAGGCCTGCCATCTGGAAGATCGAGACCTGTGTGACTCCAGAGGGCAGACGTAGGAAGAAACAAAGGGTCACAGAGGCAGATTTAGTCTAGATGTAAGGATGAACGTGCTCACCATTAGAGGCATCCCAAAGTGGAATGTGCTGGGTGGGGGAAGGCGGGAAGGGAAGAGAAGGTTCCTTCCTTCAGTAACTACCTTCAAGCCAAGGTTGGATGGCCACTTGTAGGCCACGTTGTAGAAAGGATTCTTGTTCGGATATGGATTGGAATGGATGGCCTCTGAGGTCACACAAGGAAAGGGGACTCTTCGGGGAATGCCGATGAGGCTCTCCCCTTAAAGGAGGATGAGGAAGCTCATTTCTCGGCAGGCTGCTGTCCTCTGGGCCTCTCGCGCTCCGGGGACCTCTTCCTCTTGCGAGACCACTTCGGGCCTGGCACCTCATCAGTATCTTCTGATAGAAGGGTGGAAGGCTTTTCCCAGAACCAGCCCCCCCCCCCGGTTCTTTCCCAGCGGGCTACTCCCCTCCGAACCCCTCCACCATGCCCTTTTCCTCAGCTTCCCCAATAGACTGGAAGCTCCCCGAGGGCAGGCCAGTCCTTTGCCCCTCCTCGCGTCTCCACCGCTCAGCCCGGGCCCGGCTCCCAGCAGGGGCCAAACAAACGCTCTTTGACCGATTGACCTCAGCCCAGCAGCACACTCGCGCACATCTGGAGCATCTGTCTTGCCATAAAAGCAGTCCCTTTATCTCCGCTTTACAGTGAGTGAAAGTGATGCCCAGTGAGGAGCGTGACCTGCCCAGCGTCAGCGCTGGGATTCGCACCCACATCCCTACAGACGGGTACCGCTTTTGAAATTTCCCACTTGCGCCGCCAAAAGCTCAGAGACTGAGCATGCGCACAGCCTTTCCCAGCCCCAAATCACCCTCACCGCCGACAAAGAGGAGCGAGAGAATGAGCGTGCGCAAAACCAGCCTCCTCCTCTCGCTCACCAACTAGCAGGAGGCGGGGGGGGGAGCGAGGAGTCGTGAGCATGCGCATAGTCAACGGGGGGGGCCTTCCCCTGCACCGACTCACAAGCCCTAGAAGAGGCAGGATACTGAGCGTGCGCAACCTCTCCGTTCCGCCCCCCCCCCCCCGCCCCAGCCTGCGTGAGGCTCTGACGCCAAGGTGCTGCCATTTGGCGGGAAGAAGAGACGCTGCCGGGCTAACGGGGTAGCCGTGCGGCCATGGCGGGGCGGCGTGGTGCCCTCATCGTGTTGGAGGGCATGGATCGCGCTGGGAAGACCACCCAGTGCCGGAAGCTTGTGGCAGCCCTGCTCGAATCTGGACAGCGGGCAGAACTTCTCCGGTTCCCGGGTAGGAGGCAGAGCCAGGCCTGGAGAGGGGGCAGGGCGGGCGATGCGCAAGTCTGCGCAGTAGGCTGTGGTGAGAGGGAGCATGCGTGGTCTGGGCCGAGACCATGCCCACCGGGGCCGTGATTGGTCCAAGGCTCAGGCGTTTGAGAGCTTCGTCACGTGGGGAAGATGGAGCCCACGCTTGCTGTTTCTCCTCCGACAGCGGCTGCCGCGTGGCCCCGGGGCTCGCTCGGTTCGAAGGGCGTAGTCAGAGACGCCGCCTCGCGGGGTTGTTGGGTAGCGCAGGGAAGCTAGTGTAGACGAAGCGCTTTGCAAACCTCGAGATGGCAGGCGTGCCTGGTGTGTGCCTCCCCACCCCGAGAAATAAGCTCCCGGAGGGCAGGCGCCGGCGGAGCTCGGCCCCTTCCGGGGACCTCCCAGACCCCCGGAGCCCCCTCTTCCTCTTTCGAGGAAGGGGGCGTGGCCCGCCTGAGTGCCGCACAGATGGTGCCACTTGCCGTCGTCGAGGGGATACCTGGCCTCCCGACTCCAGGGCCGTCGTTTCCCACCGTACCCCCTGCTTGTAGCCCCCTCGTAGGACGGCCACACACGCATTTCCGCCTCAGTCAGCGTTTTCCTTTTGTCTCCCGTTTTTAAGGTTTTTATTGAACTCGTTTACCCTGTAGGGCCGTCCCCTCCCAAGGAGCCCCCTTTGTAACAGACTTTTAAAGGGGGAAATAAGTTTAGCAAAACGATGCAGCACATCAGCCAGTCTGACATGTGTAGGGCTCCGTACCTACGTGTCTGTGCAGGGAAGGAGGGAAAGGATTCTCACATCCCCTCCTTCACCCACCCTCTGATGGGGTGTGGCCCTAAAGGGAATTTGGCCCCTGTGGTAGGTTTTTATTGACTTCCCTTTTTGAATCGCCTTGTTTCCCTTTAAGGGCCCTAGTCTCACCTGCTTGATTTTATTCCAATTAGAATCCCTTCCTTTCCCTTTGAGAGCCCTAGCTCCATCTGTTTGATCTCATTCCAGTCAGAGTTCTCGCCCACACGCTTTTCCCAGACCCTCCCCTGATTACCCAGTCATTTTAAGCATATAAGATCTCCCCTGCTCCTCGTTAGGGCAGAGAATCCCAAGTCCAAAGGGCTGAGACTCTCTCATGCACGCCTGTTTTTACGGGCCTTACTCGGCTTATGTGTTTTATCCTTTTTAATAAACTTTTCCTCTGGCTGAAGATTTGAGTTGAATTCTTTGAGGCCGGGCCCAGTACCATGACTTTGGGGTTTCCAGCACCCCAGCACTTCTAGACCTCTTCACCTCCAACATTGTAGAAAGAAGGAAGCAGGCCGAGGAAAAGGACGGAAAGTGGCAGAGTCGGGATTCCAGTCCAGGGTTCTATCCCGTGTTCCAGCCACAGAGGGCCATGAAAAATCTACAGGTGACAGAAGCAGGAGTAACACAACGAGTCTGTTAGGTGCCCTGGAAGGAAGAACTCGAAAAGAATTAGAGCTATGCCAGTGTAGAATGGGCCGCCTCAGCAGGGAGTGGGTTCTCCATCACTGGAAGGCTTCAGGCAAAGACTGGAGAGCCCCCATTGGGCTGGGGCTCGGACTAGATGGCCTGCGAGACCCTCTTGTCAGGGGAGATTCTCTGCTAGGCTGCGTTATTTCCTTTTCAGAGTCTAGCCCTGCTCTGTAACAGCTGTGTGACCTTGAACAAATCACCTGGGTTCCTTGGGACTTAGCTTATTCCTCTCCAGAATTGGAGATTGGACTAGACGATCCCTGTGGACCCTGTAAATGCCAACTGCTTGCGAGCCTTTGTCCTAGCCAATATGCTGAGGCACGTGCGTCATGAACATGACCTCTGCTTGACTCTTCTTTCCATCTCCGTTTCCCCATTTGCTTAGGAGCAGCCAGATTCTCAAAGGTTTGGCTGGCATTCAGTCCGTGATCAAAGGAATGCACCAAATGTGTGCACACATACTTACATTAATCCTTCAAGTAATTATGATGTCATTATTGTGGGTATACACTGGACATGAACATAAATTACAGCCTCTCCAAGGTAAAAAAAAAAATCTCCCACAGAATGAGCCTTTTTAGGCTTATCCATAGTGGCTCACCAGGCCTGACTCAAGCCTTTCAAGTGTCAAGAGATTTCAAAGATTGTGCTTTGAGAACTGTGTGTATGTGTGTGTGTGTACACAACGTATGTCGACGTGTGTGTTATTCGCACTTTGGTTGAGAGGTGGTTGCCTTCTACATTGTCACAGATTTCTTCCTGTCTCATGCCTGCCCACCCACCCCATTAAGTATTTCAGTAGTACCACCAGGCACTTAGCCTCCCTTGCTGTGCTCCCTTGGGGTTATCTTTCCCTCTCCTTAGCCTTCAACCTTCAGACGGTTAAGAAGGCCTGAGGATTTCACTTCTAAGCTAACTTTCTATTCTCATTGTTGCTCTCTTAGCAAAGGCTCTCCATTCCTGCTTGGATGACTATGACAGCCTCTTAACACCCCTGCTTTTGATGCATCCACACCTGTCAGACTGAGCTTCCACACGTAGGGATCTTATCATTTCACCTCTGTCCACAAATACTTCAGTGGATTGAAAAGAAGGCTGGATAAAGGACTTGAATTGAGACTTTGCATTCCCATCCTTTGTGTACTCCCTGGGACTGTCTCCTATTTATGGTCCACATAGATCTCCTGGAAATCTGTGGATTTCTCTATCACTTACTTTTATCGCCTTTTTTTGTTTTTACATCACACATGTTTCCCACTCTATCCCACCCATCCCAGCACTCCTTCCTAGAGAACTGTCCCTTATAATAAAGTACCCCCAAGAAATGTCTTGCAAAACTAATTGATGTTATGAAATAATCTGACTTTGCAGACAAAGAAACTGGAGAAGGTGTCCTCTCATATCACTTCAATGGGACCAGGCTTGGCCATTACAAGTTGTATAAAATTTGTTTGTACTATTCATTTTTAGCACCTAATCGAGTGTGTTGTCATGTGTGTGTGTGTGTTTTGTGTCCCCAAGTAGAATGGAAGATTCTGGAATGAAACATCAGGCTTTTCAGTGCCTAGCATTTCACCAGGCACTCAGTAAAGATGTGCTCATTGAGAGTATGATTCGTGGCATAATTTTTGACCTTTCAGTCAGCTTTTTCAATGATTGATTTAAAGCGTTGTAATTTGCACCCTTTTCTCTTGTGCTTCTCATAGCTCACATGCCATTATTTGGCTGGTCTTCAATTTGGTGCTGTTTGAGAAGTGCCCCTTAATAGGCAGAGCTTTGATTCTGTGCAGAAAGTTCAGCCCGTAGCATTTCCTTGGGCTAACCTCATCTTATCCCTAATTCTTTTCTTTGCAGAGAGATCCACAGAAATTGGCAAACTGCTGAGCTCTTACCTGGAGAAGAAAAGCAACATGGAGGATCACACAGTGCATCTGCTTTTTTCTGCAAACCGCTGGGAACAGGTGTAAGGCAAAGATGTCGGGAACGTTCTGCCAGACTCACCTCGGTTCTCTTAAATACCCTTCCCTTCCAGGCCTCAATTTTAGGGAATATCAGCTTTGCATGAATCTGGAGGTCAGGTCAAAGGGAGAGGGGGGTACTTTTCTGCCTAAAATCAAAGCCACAGCCTGACCTGTTCCATGTAACTTGATTTAGAGGTTGGGCTTCTGTTGTTTGTAGCTTCCTAGAAAAGAGACGTAAGTAGCTGTCGTTTCGTTTACAGTGTGCAGCGACCAGCCTGGTTTTCCCTAAAAGGTCATTGTGGTCAGTGCTTCTTTGACTCAGCAGTGTCCCTTTTCCAGTGACGGCAGTCTGCTTGCGCCATCCTGGGCACCTCCCACCTTAGCCCCTCACTCCCTGGGCTTCCTTCTGGAAAGCTGGGGGAGCCCAGCTTCGTCCTCTGGCACCTCTGGGCCTGATGCTCTCAGTTTGATGCTTCACTATCAGCTTGTCCCCTTGACTTACCTGCCAGATGAACAGGCCTGTTTGGAACAAACAAAAGGACTTCCTTGTTCTTTCCTCCTCCTCCAGGGTTCTAGAGCACTTGTCACCCACACCTTTTTATTTTGTACTTTCTGAGCTTTCTAAGCCTCTTGGGGAGTTTCTCCCTGCTTCTGTTCACAGAGAGCCTTCCTTTGGCAAAGTCTCAGCCCACTATAGTGTGTTGGGCCTCCCTAGTCTGTGCTGCGTTGGGCCTTAATCTAATGTGGCTTCAATTCCAAGACTGTATTTGCTGTGTACATTCAGGCCTCACAGTTTCAGTAAAGCTGGTGTGCTCTTCTGGATATCAGTCCTGAATGTGGGCACTTTAGAGGGACTGTGATTTCGGTGGGGTCAGTCTGCCCTGGGCCAACACTGATCACAGCACGCACAAACCCCCTCCCTCTCCTGGCCCTTCTTGACCCTGTTGTCCCATGTTCTCTCCTTGGGATTGCCCTATCTCTCTGGAGACCCTCCTCTGGGCATCAGACAAAATTTAAAGAATTTTGAGGGCATTTGGAATAGAGAATAACCCTTTTTTTTTCGTTGTTATCTAGACCACTGATTAAAGAAAAGTTAAGTCAAGGCATCACCCTGGTAGTAGACAGGTATGCCTTCTCTGGTGTAGCCTTTACAAGTGCCAAAGAGGTGAGTGATCAAAGCTTGTCTGCCTTCACCTTCTAACAGAACAATAGTGACCCTTAATTGAGCCTGAACGTTTTGAGGAACTGAGAAATGCACAAAGCTTAGATGAGACACGGCCCCTGCCCCTAAGTAGCTTCTGCTCTAACCAAGGGATAAGAAGCTGGCACGTAGACCAGATGACATGGTAAATACTCTAGAGAGAGAAGGAATAAGGGGCCATGTGAAGCCTGAGGGCAAAGCTGGTCCCCAAGATGGACAACCAGGAAAGGCTCCCTGGAGGACTTGGCTTTTGGATTGGAATCTGAAGGGTGGGGAGGGCAAAAAGGGAAGGGGAAGGGCCTTCCAGACTCGGGGAAAAGTGTGAGCCCAGGGGCTGAGGATGCTGGGCACATGTGGAGTGCAGGGAGGCCCCAGAGTCAGCGGGGTGGAGTCTGGAAGCAAGAGTTCAGAGGGATAGTTGGGAGAGTAGACTGTTTCTGAAGGTGGTGGGCCTTGAGTACCAGGCCAAGGCGCTTGAATTGTCCTCCGTAGGCAGCCCCTGAGGATGTCTGGGCAAGAGGAGAAGCGCAGCCAAAATGTTGGAAGGCACCTTTGTTATCTGCCTCCTTGATTATAGGAAAGAGAGGCTAAGTGGCTTCCTCGGTATTGACATTTTAAAAAAACTGACATCACAAAAAATAATAAAACTTCAGAGGTTGATGGTCCTTGGCAGATTCCTTTCAATAGTTTATCATTTTGACTGTCAGAATATTTTTTGTATGAATTCTCAAGTCTAGACCAGGCCTCCTTTTATCGAAGGGTTAAGCCTTTGTCGTGATGCCTAGTTTCACTCTTTTCCTTGCCTTGAATGGTTGCCAGATAACCAGGTCCTGGAAGGAGGGTGATGTTCCTCACATAGGCCTGGAATGGCTGAATGCCACCACTGTTAAAAGAATCAGGGGTCAAGGAGGACCTTTGAGGTCTCTCTGTATCTGTTTGATGGAGGTCTCACTCCGTCAGTCTTGTAAAAGAAGTGTGATCTCCTCCCAGTAACAGCCACTCCCTGGACCCCACGGGAATCCCTGCTCCCCTTTCCTCATTTTCCTTTGGATTAGAAGAACTAGGACCCTCTCTCTCTGCTCTGACCTGGGGGCCTTTTTGTTGTTTGTTTCCCCTTGTCAGAATTTTTCCATAGACTGGTGTAAGCAGCCTGATGTGGGGCTCCCCAAGCCAGACCTGATCCTCTTCCTTCAACTGAGCTCCTTGGAAGCAGCGAAACGGGGAGACTTTGGCACTGAGCGCTATGAAAACAACGCCTTCCAGGAGAAAGCCTTGCAGTGTTTCCACCACCTAATGCAAGATGATTCGTTAAACTGGAAGGTGAGAGGGGAACCAGCTGGTCAGAAGGTGCACGTAGCAGAGGGTCAGCCCCTGGGCTCAAGACAGATTTCGTGGAGGGGTTGATGGGTCTCCTTCCCAGAAGGGAAGCTCGCCTCTCACTTTAGTCTCCCGAGTCCTCTCCTCTCTCCTGCTGTGTGTCATGAGCCCTCCACGTCATGGCCTCTTCTCTCTTCCTTTGGTCTCTGCAGAAGCACCCCTTCCCCTGGCCCACCAGAGCTCTGTGCCCACGTCCGTGTCTGCATGTTTTCCTCATGTTTAATAAAACAAAGCAGAAGCCCTTCCCTCACCCCTGCCCAGCCCATCATCGCTCTCTTTTACAGCCAAGCACTCAGCATTAACCTCCTCTGCTCGCGGCGCACGCCTTGCCTCGCCTTCCCTTCCCTTCTCGCCCCTTCCAGCTGGCTGCCAGCCTCACGACTCAGGTGAAAGGGCTCATTTCCAGACAGCCAGCGAGTGAGCTCTTCATTGTTGGGTCCCACGCCTTTTCTCAGGCCTCCTCTGTCATGATCTCTTTGCGGCATTTGACAGTGTGGTCCACGCCTCCTCTCCATCTGTCTGGCCATTCTCCTTAGTCATTACCTTGTCTTGGGTGGGCGCTCCTCCGAGGGTCAGTCCTGGAGCCGCTTCACGGCCCTTCTCCAGGCGATCTTATTAATTCCTGTGGATTCGGTCACCTCCATGCTTGTGCCCCCAGATCTTAGCATCAAGCCCTTAGCTCTCCTAGATTCCAGCCCCACACCTTAAAGCATTGTGTAAATGTGGCTGTTATTGTGTGAATAGACTCCCTCTTATATTAGTGTGTAAGAAATACGTGATTGAGTAGTATCTTATTCTCAGGACGAGGTTCCTTTTGTGCACGAGACGTGGGGCTAGCATTTTCTAACCTGTAATAGTTTCTTCTGTGGCAGGACTTCCTTGCTCTGCATAGCACCCAGTGATATTGTGAGCCTGGGTGGCGGGCCTGGGGTTTAGACGCTTGGATCTCCTTTTACCCACAGGCAGGGTTAGAAATAGCTTGTGAGGAATTTGCACCAGAGAGTGTATTGGGTGCTAGAGATGTGGTGTGTGATTTTCAGCTTTAGCCTCCTCCAGTCCAAGGAGTGTTTCTTCTACCTAAGTGTCAATGGGCTTATCTTGGAGAGGGAGAGGGGAGTTACTTTGCTGGTTGGTGTTCCTGTCCCAAACCTCCATCTCTTTTCTTGAAAAATTTAATCCCACCCACATGTACAAAAATATTCATAGCAGCTCTTTTTGTGGCAAAGAATTGGAAATTGAAGGGACGCCCATCAATTGGGGAATGGATGAACAAGTTGTGGTGTATGAATGCAATGGAATACTATTGTGCTATAAGAAATGATGAGCAGGCTGACTTCAGAAAAACCTGGAAAGACTTGTATGGACTGATGCTGAGTGAAGTGAGCAGAACCAGGAGAATGTTGTACATGGTGACAGCCACGTTATGCGACCCTTCCCAGCAATACAAGGATCTAAGACATCTCCAAAGGCCTCGTAATGGAAAATGCTGCCCACATCCAAAGAAAGAACAACGGAGTTTGAATGCAGATGGAAGCAGACTATTTGCTCTTTTTTTTTCCCTCTTCTGTTGAGTTTTGTTTCCTCTTTCTGGTGGTTCCTCTTATTGGTTCTAATTTTTACTTACAACATCACTAATCTGAAAATATGTTTAATAGGAATGTATATGTATAGCCTATATCAGATTGTGCGCCGTCTTGGGGAGGGAGGGGGAGAAAAATTTTAAACTCAAAAGCATATGGAAGTGATTGTTGATAAATCAAAATAAATTTAAAAAAAGAAAGAAAGAAAAATCTAATCCCTTTTTTCTTTTCTTTCTCATGTCCTCCTGATGAAACAGACCATTGATGCATCTCAAGGCATAGAAGACTTGCACAAGGAGATTTACTCCCTTTCTGAAAAGACCATTCAAATGGCCCAAGACACTGCCGTGGGAGAGTTGTGGAAATAGGGCTGGGTTGGCCAGCTCTCTGTGCTCAGCAGGAAGGTGGGGAGCACCTATGCTGGTGTCTGAGAACTTAAAAAGGACCAAGCGTTGGATGGCCATGGGTTACAGCAGGAGGCCTACCCTGCACATTCTTAATCCAGGTTGAGGTCACAACCCTCCTGAATAAGGCGTGAAGATGATGGACCAGAACCACCTTTCAGGGCAGTGGACGGGAAATATGTTTCTGCTGAGCCAGAAGAGTGATTTAAGATTTCTTCCCAAATCTGGGATTAGAGAAAGCCCATTCTCTTTCCTTTTTAGCCCTTTCAGTTTCCTTTCTCGGCCTTGTTTTTAAGTGGAATCATCGAAGTATTATCAAAATAAATGAATTGTTTTATCTGGTTTCCTCTATTTTAGGATTGACACTAAATTTGAATAATCCTGGATCATGTAGGCTGACTTCAGCCCCAACGTTAACCTGACCTATATGATGGTAATCTTTTTGAAAAGTTCAGCTTGTCTTAACATTCCATCCCTCTGTCCTTCTTTAAAATACTAGCCATCCTTTGGGGATGGATGAAAACATCAGGAATACCTGCTCTCCAATAGAAATGTATGTTCAGTTGGGAAAATAGCTGTGGGAAGCTTGAGGTTTCCTACGCCTTTTCTTTAGATTCAGAATGTGGCGTCTTAAACCCTGAATTTGGCTTAGAATGAGAAGCACTTGAATGCTGCTATTAGATAGTATTGGTCATGGCCCCCCCATCTCCCAGAAGTCAGTTCTCGCCCAGAGTTTTGCCATCAGTAATACGCCAGCTGGGTCCAGTTTCTTGAGCAGCCTGGATAAATGTAAACTCTAGTGACTCCACAAGGCGGGAGGGCAGCCAGCAGGACCTGTTGGGAAGAGTGGGAGAGCAGAGTTCCAATCCCACCTCTGACCTCGGGCTAGAAGTAACAGCAGGTCACCTCTGTCTACCTTGGCTCCTGCACCTGAAGAACAAAGATAAAGCCGTGGTGCATGGCTCAGGGGGAGTCCTCAAGACTCAGAGGACTCCAGAAATGTCAGCTCCCGTTACAAATGCTTGTTAATTATTGGGGATGGAAATTGTGTAACTCTCAAGTTTGCCAGGTTGAAAACATCACCATGAAATAAAGGTTCCGTTTGGTATTTGGTCGAGATCGAGAGTTATGTCTGGATGTTTCTGCAGGGGCAGGGAGAAGAGAAATCAGGTGGGCAGGCAATAGATGTTCCATCTGAGTCATTTCTTGTTGCCTTTTTTTTAGAGATGCTGTGACTGGCATTCAGCAGGAAGCCCCCGCCTCTGACCGTGCTGTGGCCATAGACTTCAGTGGTTAGCCTATAAGCTGGCGATACAGGGGTACGTGATTCCACAAGGCAGCTTTTGGTGAGGAGGGTGGGAACTCACCTCCCCCACCCCTGAAGCTCCCGATTGTTATTTACATCTACCCTAAACTAAGGCTGGCATCTGTTTATTCTGCCCTAGTATGAAAGACTCGTTAGCTCTGGGTAGAAGACCCCTAGGAAAGCTATGAGAAAGGGAGGAAGAAATTGGCTGGAGTTGGTGGACAGGTGATCAGAGCAGGGAGCAAGCCTAGATCTGTCTACTCTGAGCCTCAGTTTGCAGATGAGGAAACTAAGTCCCATGGGGAAGAATAAAGTGGCTCTTTTTCTTTATGGCTGACAAGGGATCCCCTTTTCAACCATCTGCTTGTTGCAGCTTATGACGTACACACTATGTAATTGTGGAGGTCTCCCTACTTTGATAGAGATGAAAACACCCACGGCAGAATTGGACGTTACATTCGTTACACCTGCTTGATATGGGGAGAGGTTAGCCTACTAAGTCACTCTGCTGTCTGCTGGGGTAGGGCGGGGTCTGAAGCTTGATCACTTTAGGTAATGGTCTCAGGAATGAGCATGTTTTTAGATTTTAGGAGTTGGCCTGCTGACTCGGGCCACTACCACCTCCAGAAAGAACCTCTGGGACAATTATGCCAGTCCTGGGCCACATAGGGCTGGTAACCAGAATCTGAGATGTCAAGCATTTTCAAATGAAAAATCTCCCACTCTTGGCTGCAAACCTCATGCATTTGTTAAATTTAAAGGGAACGTGGAAGGAATCCTGGAAGGTAGGAGAACCAGCTCACAGGGGTGAGCCTGAGCTGACCCAGTCCCCTGTCCTAGCAGGTGCACATCTTCATTCAGATGCTGTGCTTCACCTTTGGCACCTGCAGTCCCAGAACAAGAGGCAGGTGCATGACCTGCCAGGAGAGGTAAAGTGCCCAGTGTCCATGGAAGGCTTATGTTAGGGTGAGAAGGTGGTTAGTCCCACTATCGTAAAACTCACAGATCTGAACCATCCATTATGCTGCAACTACATTCAGGAGAAATGGTTTCAAGGATGAAATAAATCAATCTCACAGCCTTTTACCTTTTTTCTCCCTCATATTTTTAAAGAAAAAAGCTATAGTGCCCTCAAAGTTTGACAATGGAGCCTTACCACCCTTTTAGTTTTCCTTTCTTGTTCTTTCTGGTCCCCAAGTGCTACTGTATCATGCTGTAGTCTTTATTTTCATCAGTGCCATTATTCTGACCCCTTGGGCCATCCCTCTCTACCAGCTTTGGTCCTTGTTTGGTTTGAAGCCAGGGAACCTTCCCAGGTAATCACTTGTGTTTCCTTTGTGCAGTATTTGGACTTTGCCTTCTCTGCTGTCTTAATCACCAATTATAAACCTGAAATACAAGAACTTTCCTTTGGGATTCCCTTCTAGACCAACCCTTTCTACCCCACCCCACCCCCCTTGCCATGAGTGTTTATAGGTCATTTATTAAAAAGCTCCAAAACTGGCTTCAGCCTGTGACCAGACCAAGTGAATGCACTCCCAGGTCCTGAAACTGCTGTAGGTTTTCAGCTTGAGCTCTGACCACTGAGGAATCATGCTACAGAAAGGGAGGAGCCTGCCATCTTGATCTGAGAATAGGAGGCAAGCTTCCTAAGACACACCTTTGGATGGGCCCGTGCCCAAAGAAACCATGACCTTACCTGCTTCCAGGTTATGGTTAAGCTTTCTATTGAATTCCCATTGAAAGCATAGGCCCAAAGAGTCATAACAAAGAGGGAAGTTCTTGATGGCCACCGCCAGTAAACTGGATGGCACCAGCTGGAGACAGCAATGTTCACGGAGGCCTCTAATCTCTATTAGAAGCATATTAGAGGCCCTGATCTCTAATAGGGCAAGACTGACGATGAAACGGAAGCATAGCCCCTCACACCATTATAAAATGAGATCAGATGTTTTTATTTGTATTCTTATTACAAATTAAGTACCAAGTAGCTTAATTCCAACACTCTGAATTCTGAGTGAATTGACACTCTTTTCAGAAAGGGAGAGCGTGATAAGTTTATTTTGTGCAGGAAGCTGTTAGTATATGTAGAGCTTTGGCTTTAGTCTACAGTAATTGGGTTAAGAACTCCTCATAGAGTTGCTGAAATAAAAGCACTGATGAAGCCCAGGCCTGGGGAAAGTGGGACGGGTGGGAGCAAAGTCATGGCCCACAAAAGCCTGTCTCGTTAGCATGGTCAGTGAGGCAGACATATTGGAGTAAGGTGGGGTGGGGTCTTTGAAATCATCCAATTAGCTGTCTGATGGTTGAAAGGCGATTCTCTTTTCCCATGTCAGGACAGTCTTCCTTTAAGACTATGTCTAAAAGACATAGATGTCCAAGTCGTACCAGGGTTACACTAATCAGTGTTTGTTTCGATCATTAATAACTTCTTAAAGTGATAGGGTGAGAGGTGAGGCCTTTGTAATGACCCCAGCCAGGACTCATTCATTGCTGAAACTGAAGGAAAGCTGGTCTCCATCCATGGACTTCTTCAAGGGAATTCAACCTGGACATCAATGCAGCTGCTTCTAGCTCAGTTATGGGAGTAATTTTTTGGGGAAAAGGCCCCGAGGAGATGAACAAGAATGTGGTTTCTATGGAAGTGGGCACAAGGGGATTGACCACTGAACCCTTGGCCTTTAGCTATCACCCACTCAGAGACACAGACTCTAACATGTGTCTTTGCTTCACTTGCTCAGCAGGGAGTTCTTGGTTCTGGTGACTGGATCCACAACTGGAGCAGAGAAGTATGTGCTTTGGGGCCATTTCTGCTAGCCCACTTCCAGGAAGCCTTGTTCTGCTTCCTTCTTTAACCGATCCTCCCCATTCTCCCACAGTGCTATGCCCAGCAGTGCATGGATGTCCTTGTCGGAAAGGAAACACTCTTCCAAGTACCTGAGATGGGTTGCCCCCTGGCCCTGACACTGCCCAAGTCGGTAGTGACTCCACATCACAGACCTTTCTAGGGCTTCTCTCTTAGACAGCATGTGTCTAAAGAACACCCATTCAAGATGACTATCACCTACATAAAAATGAATAAGTAAATAAGGTTTTTCAAGTGAATGACACCATCATCTGAAAGATTAATGAGTTCCATGAATTAGGATGTCTTTAAAAATAAGATGAATTTATATACCCATGATTCAAATAAAATGTAAAATATAGCCTTTTTTTGCGGGGGGGGGGGGGGATAAGGGCTAACTTGGACTGTTATAAGAGAAGATTGATGCTCCTGGGAACTTGAACTCAGTTAAGAAAACTTTATGCAAAGAACCCTACTTCCAAACACCTTTATTAAAATATGGAAGTCAGATTTGAGAATGTTAGGAATAACCAGAACTTTTCCAGGAATCAAAGGGTATTGTTTGCTTAGCACAAGGTCTCGAACCCAGTAAATGCTTAATAAATGCTTTATCTACATAACTAACTCATGTTAACTACATCAGAAAATTTTATAGTGCCTTGTAACGTCACCATGATGTTATTCATGTTGATATAAGCATGTGTAAAATGAGCTTGTTGGACACAGAATGCTGGCTAAGAGTTTGTCACCTGTAAATTTCTATTCACCTGCCTTTCTGCGCTTTGAAAATGTACTTTCTGATGCTGCCAATGACCCTGAGCTACCAGGGAAAAGATCGATGCTTTGTGAATGCAAGATAACATCATTTGGGGTTGGCTGTGGTGTCGAGGGCACATGCGTCTACGCCGCTATTTGATTCACGGACACTCCAACTACAGGGACCTTAACACTGATGTCTGGTAGGCTTAGTTTAATACCAAGCACTTGAGGAAGGCAATTCTCAGTCCTCTTGTTTTTCCAGGGTTTGCCACCTAAGTCCGATAGACTTCTCTCTCCAGAAAACAGCATTCAGCATTGGACTTTCCTCTTCAGGTCTGCAGATGGCCCTTGTTTGCACTTCCAGATCACACTGGCCAACTTTTGTCCAGATCATCCCTCAAGGATCTTCACGGCGATGGGCTTACTTTTTATCAATACACTAGGCCTGAGTCGCCTTGGCTCCTTCTGCCTCTCAGAGTCACCGAAGCAGCCTTCAGCTCAAGACGCAGTCAGACTTTCATTGTAGTCAGCTCGAACACTGAGGCGAGTCTTACCCACAAAAGTGGAACCTGTTCTCACAAGGGTTAGCTAGCCGCCTTAGAAGGATCTTTGGAGTTGAGGCTTTTTGGTCTTGGTAGTAGAAATAGCTGGGTCATTCCTGAGCCTTTTTTGGTGAAGTCTAACGGAGCCAAGGGGCAGCTGGGTGGCTCCATAATGCACAGTGCACCAGGACTGAAGTCAGGAAGACTCACCTCCCCAAGTTCAAATCTGGCCTCAGACACTTACTAGCTGTGATGCTGAGCAAGTCATTTCCCCTGTTTGCCTCAGTTTCCTCATCTATAGTTTTTTTTGTTTTTTGTTTTTTTGCTAGGCAGTGGGGTCACACAGCTAGTACGGGTTACGTGTCTGAGGTTGGATTTGAACTCAAGTCCTCCTGACTCCAACGCCAGTGCTCTATCCACTGCGCCACCTAGCTGCCCCAGTTTCCTCCTCTATAAAGTGAGCTGGAGAAGGAAATGGCAAACCACTGCAGTATCCATGCCAAGAAAACCCCAAAGTGGGGTCACGAAGAGTCGGACGTGACTGAAATGACTGAACAGCAACAATGGAGCCAAGGCTAGAATGAGGACCCTGGCTGCAGCGGGGGGGGGGGGGGGGGGGGGGGGGGGGCGGCGCCAGCGGCGCATCCGCTCAGTGGTCAGCAAGG